TTTGGACAGATCAGATTTGACCTTTATCTGCTTTATATTATAGGACGAAAAAAGTTGATCCGTTCACCTCCAGACTACTAGAAATCCACTCCAAGATGCTACAAATCAATAAGAAAGAGGTACATTTTGATCATGCATGCATATGCAATTTCATATAGCGTGTACTGCATTCGTAAGCTCTTTATATATTGACATTTCTTTTCAACTTCTTTAGTTTTTTCAGTTGAATGTAAAGCATAAACTGACGAAGTCAAGTTTCCTAGTTCTATGGGGTTGTTACGTGATTTTGATATTCCTAATACTAGATATCAATCACCATAATTTTGTTTGGGTCCTTTATCATTGAGCTTGTGTTCTCTGATTGTGCTTTAGTAAAAAAATGCTCCTTGCTGCTTCAGATGTTGATTCTCTCATATTTGACCATCAGGAGAGGAAAGGTTGTCTTGTATTTTCTTCGTCTTTATAAGAAGGGGAATGTTTTGTAATTATGTGCCTAAATCTACTTTTCTTAGTTGTAGTCAGGCTGTCAGAGTATTTTGTTATTTCTTTGGTTTTAGGGGATGATTTACCATTTGATATAACATTAATGTAGGAAATACGCTTGGGGTTGCATCGCTCAGACTATATGCTGGATGAGCAAACTAAATTACTTCTGCAAATAGAGCTTAACACTATTTCATCATCATTTTCGGGGCTAAGTTGTCTTGTCAGTGAGCTTCACAGGTAAAATTAGTTTATGTTAACTTTCATGGTAAACCTTTCATTTTTGAAATTATGAAATGCTATCTTAATATTCTAATCCAGAAATTTTATTGTAATTTTATCAAGTTATTTGCTGTTTTCATTTTTTTAGAGGATGAAATTGCTGTTGTATTCATGTGTGAATGCTCAAAAAGATACTTCAGAATTTCAGATCATATTGCTAACACTTTCTCCTCTGAAGCTCATACGGAACTGGATCTCAATTGTCATTTGCAGGAGCTTGCTTCATCAATACAGTGAATGCATTGCATTAGATCCTAACAAAATTCCCACAAACAATTCCGTAAATCAATTTACGGATGCACTGGCTAAAGCTTGGAATGAATATGGTGATCCAAGGTGTTTGATTCGAGAGATGTTTAGTTTCTTATGCTACAATGAAATATCTTTGAAGTTACACTAACTTAAATACGTAATGCAGGGCTGTGGTTATGTTTGTGATTCTAGCTGAAGAGCGCAACATGTATGATCAGCATTGGCTTTCGGCTTCACTGGGAGAAAAATATCCTACTTTACGTGATGGATTTGTATTTGATGTGCATATCATAATAAGAGGAAATGGCCATACTTAAGACAATTAAAATTATATTGGTTTGAAATATAACAAAATATGGATTGGTAGTACATCTGTCATGGTTTTTGCTTGTAAATTCTCCTGGAAATATTTCCTTAGCTTTTAACACACATCAAGTTACAACTATCAGAAAGACGCTAGCGGAAATTGATGCACAAGGCGAGCTTCTAGAAGATGGTACCCTCATTGTGTATGTCACTTTTTAGTAAAGTACATTTCAATGTTAAATCTGTTGAATTTGCAGTTTCTATATGTGAAGCTTAAAATCTTAGGATTGCAGAGATGGTGAAGCAGTGGCGGTCATTTATTTTAGAGCTGGCTATGCACCAAGTGACTATCACTCGGAATCTGTAAGTCAACTTTTGTTCTGCTTGGCATTGTCTTTTACTTTATGCAGCTGCTGTCGTTCTTTTGAATACCCATGCTCCACCAAGCAATCTTAAACACCTTTTGCTGTATCGTACCTGCAAAACTTTCACTCTTTGCTGACTGTTATTATCTATGCAGATACAATTTTGTGCGCATGGCTCGATTTGTTTATTGAGTCCCTAATTACCTTAAACCAAAAAGGGGAAGAAAAATAGTTCCAAGGGGAAATCTGTAGTGAAATTAGTGAGCATGGTGTCCCGGGTGACGGTGGATCAGGTTGGCTACCTCAAATAAGTTTGAAGTAACAAAAAACTTTCCGTAGATGTGCTGTTGTCCGTACTTTATGCTTATGCACGTTTTCACTTATTGTTTGATTATATACACTGTAATATGCGCGAATAATTTCTGAACTTTCCTATTGAAAATCAGCTTACAGTGTTTGGAGGATCAAACTTTATGACAGGCTGTCTATCCATTTTACAAGGCATATTTTGAATCAGGAAAAACACTGATTGATCCGATAAAGCAAAGCAACCTGGCCCACAGCTCTGTGTTGGGGCTTGATTCCCAGCCGAGATAACCATTTCATACCTCCCCTGATCCTTGAAATTGCCAGTTGCCAAGGTTAAATAAGGAGGGTGAGGGAAAAATGAGAAGACCTGGGTGGGTGGGGGNTGAAGATTGAGAGTAGAAGGAAGTCAGTAGACTTCTGTCCTTTAGTTGAGGATGGAGAGAGTTCTAGTTGTTTGACATTGAAGTGGCAAGAGGTTAAATGCATTTTAAACAAATCTAACGGAAGCATTACTACTGAGGCATTCTCCTGATAATTGAAACAGAAGCATTGGAATGTTCAACTCAGGGTTAGATAACTATAAAAATATGTTCATCAAGGAACAGTTAAAGAGGCAGTCTGGTTCTTTTAGTGAAGGTGTTATGCATATCTACTTTCTGCATAATCTTCTGAGACATCTCTAATTTGACTGTGTCTGTGTGTGTGCATGAGCACAATTTTAATATTTGATTTTTAATTTTTAAAGTTTTGGAGGTTGGGCTGGGTTTGGTTCATAATTACTTTTCAATTTTGGGACTGTGGAAGTGATCACAAATAGAGAGAGAGTCCATTTTACTATTGCATCTCAATGTGATTCAACTTATGCATGCACTTAACAATAACCTACGGTCTTTCTTGATATGTTTTATGCAACTCGTTTATTTTAGGCGTGGAAAGCTAGGCTTCTGATGGAGCAGTCACGTGCAGTCAAGTGCCCTTCAATTTCCTATCATTTAGCTGGGACCAAGAAGATTCAGCAAGAGCTTGCAAAACCCAATGTACTAGAAAGGTAAAATATAATTCAGGTTGCGTCTCTTGTGATTTTTTGATAAGCTTAATAGCTGTCTATAGGTAGTCTTTCAAGTTGAGACTGGATTGTTTTTGGTGTATTCCCTCTTCCTCTCCTTTATGGGTCCTGGAAACTGGAAAGGCAAAACTCAATGCATTTAGTGATTCATAAATTGATAAAGATGAGTATTGACATTCCGTGCACCCTTTGTCTGTGGAGTAAAGGGAAAGCAAAAATGAACATAGGAAGGGAAAAATTTATAAAATTCCAGATAGGGTATTAGAAAGAAAATGAAGTAGTAACTCTATGTATACTTTGTAAGTTGAGAGCATTAATTAATGTGATTATGCAATCATTTGTTGAGAAATTAACTGCTTGGAACATCCATATGTATAATCTGTTAAACTTTCGTCCTTGTTTTATGAGCAGGTTTCTTGAAAACAAAGATGACATTGCCAAACTACGAAAATGCTTTGCAGGGTTGTGGAGTTTGGATGAATCCGACACAGTCAAGGATGCAATTGAGAGACCTGGCTTGTACGTAATGAAACCACAACGAGAAGGAGGAGGTCTTGCTCATGAAATTGTTTCTATGTATACTGTAATTGTAATTTTTATCAAAATCTCTGACATTAGATCATCTCATCTCAGGAAACAATATCTATGGGGAAGATGTGAAGGAAGCTCTTCTGAAACTGCAGAAGGAAGGCACTGGAAGTGATGCGTTTATACTAATGCAGAGGATTTTTCCAACCGTTTCTCACTCGATACTAATGCGAGAAGGCATCCCTCATAAAGAGCAAACCATATCTGAACTTGGGATATATGGAACTTATTTAAGGTAAGTACTAAATATCTCATATTTCTCAACCCCCTCAAACAGAAGAATCAAGAAAGAAAATTAACTCCCAGAAGGTGAGAAACACTGAAATGACCCTTATCTGTGAGCCACTGTCCAGTCCCATTTTCAGCTTATGTTTGATTCATAATGTTAAATAGGATACATTTTCTTTGAGAAACAAATTGGGCCAAGAATAATGGATATCTTTTAACGTTAATTTTAAATTAATCACTGCCATCTAGTGCCTTGTATTGATATGTACTTCATATGCAGGAACGAAAAAGAAGTTCTGATCAATCAACAGTCGGGTTACTTGATGCGGACAAAGGTCTCTTCATCAAATGAGGGTGGGGTTGCTGCTGGTTTTGCAGTGTTGGACAGTATATACTTGGTTTGATGAGATTGGCTCTTGCATTGTTACTGGGGTTGAATGCGGAGGCTGCATCAGTCTTTCCTACATTACATTGGAATGACATGGTTTTAGCTTGTTCAACCTTGTTTTCTTAATAAATAGAGTTCCATATGTTTTCTGAAAGAAGTGGACACAAGATAGACAGTAGATCCAAAGTTCTTATTTGTAAACACAATTCAGTGCTCTCTCTTTGTTTACGCAAGGGCTTTACTTATCTGCTACAAGCTGATCACTGAATTTGAACGTATCTGCGCATTACTCATGTTATTTACATTTGCTTGTAATACCATGCTTAAGCGATAAATTTATATGAGAATCTGTATTGATTAAATATGGTTTAGTTACAAGTGTATTTAAGAAACTTTTACCGTATGTAATTGTTAAGTTGGTGTATGACACAGAAATTTCTCAAATATTATTCTATTACTGGACTCCCAAAAGTGCAATATGTACTCACATGGCAGCGACAACAACAACAACCTAGTGTATTCCCACAAATGGTATCTGAGGAGGGTGAGATATACACAACCTTACCCCTACACGGGTGGCAGCAAGATGACCAAAATAGGCAGGTATCATATCAAATCAAATGTTGTCCCCAAGTCAAGACCAAAATAGGCAGGTAACATATCAAATCAAATGTTGTCCCCAAGTCAAGAAAATTCGTGCCACAAGTATGCTGCTCCAAATTGGAACCACACATGTTCACTAAGATATGAATTGTAATAACACCACTTAACTTTTAATAAACCAATTAACTGAAATCAACATAATCTGAAGTACAAAGAATGAAAACCTAAGACCAAAAGCATAAACCATATTCACAAAAAGGGTGTACACAGAAAGAGGCATACAAGGGCATGTCTATTCTCTACCGGACAACAAAATTTGAGTAGTTATTTTCCTTTGAATAAATTCTTTACTAGTCCTTCCAGCCAAACTCAATGGCTCGTGCCTCCCATAATGCAGAGAGCTTGCGCTCTTCTATCAAAGCAGCTTCAGCCTTCTCCCTACCTCCCTCACATGTATCTATCCCTATGTTGCACTTCTCTGATTCTTTTTGGTAGTGTGAAGATGCTCTTTTCGCGCTCATAATTAGAGCCTTGGTGCGATCCAAAACGTCATTAGTAACATTCTTCTGCAAGTTAATCTCCTCTGACAGTAAAGTTGCAATATCCTTCTTCATCTCTTCATTCATTTGAGGATCATCTTTACCACAGTCTGCATCCACAAAAAACAAAGTAATGCTAGGATTTGAAGAAGCAGCTTAAACCAAGTTAAACCACTCAACTTTTTCAGGGATTAAATGAAGCAGTGAACTAACCTGCCAATGAGCTGTTTAAGATGTCTGCAAAACAACACATAATAGGAGATGAGAATCATCAGGAAAGAGGGGAAAATACAATAAAAAGAACATCAAGGATGTCAATTCTGTGTTGTTGGATAAAAGTATTTCCAACAGTTATGCTGTTTTTCCAACATCAAACTGCAAGAGAAAACAGGAACCACTGAATAAAGATACACCTTAAGGGGATTTTGAAGGCATCCAGTAGTTCCTGTTATAATAACTTATACGTAACCAATCCTCCTCCTCTTCAAAAGTAGAGTACATCTACTCTTAGTTGATTTTGAAGGCATTCAGTCGCTCCAATCAGGCTAAGGGGATAAATCATTTCAGTGAACTCTTGGAAAAACTCTTTCTTGAACCTTCTCTTGTACTGCTTTTTGCTGATGTAATTTTATCAAAAAGCTCTTATTTTTAAAGAAGCTTGACTGACATAAAGAATTTCTCCCCTGTACCAGTAACATGTAATAGTTCCTCTTTCAGTACACTAATTCTCATATGAACCTTGAATTAGAAATTTCACTTATAGGGCATTTCGCTAACATTTTGTTTTAAACTTGAAACCAGTACCTGTTCTCAACAAATTCCACTAACTTCTTGTCAATTTCCCGGAAGACCTAACTTAAGATCAACTGCCTGAACTCCTCGTTACGAATTTGGAAGTATAACTATACACAACATTTGTTTTTTTTTTGTTTCAATAACCGTGGTGTACCAACCAACTTGCTCTCAATCCACTTGGTAGGGGTGGACTTTCGGTACTTCGGTATGATATTTAAGAATTTTGGTACGGTACTTCAATATACGGTTTATCAATCATGCATACCAAATACCGTACCAAAATAGTTCGGTACGGTTCGGTATTTTCTTGTTTAGTTCGGTATGGTTTTCGTACGGTTTTGGTATCGTACTAAGTCTTTGTAAATGAAAAAGTGGTAAATTTTAATTCAAGATTTCACATAAGAATATAAGATCAGTTTTTCTAATGCGTTTTGTTCTGGATTTCCAGAGGTAAAGATCTGTTTTTGTAATGCATTTTCCAAGGAAAGAACTAGAGGTAAAGCAGAAACGGCAACCACACTACACTAATTCAGAGAGGAATGGCAATTTGAAGCACAAAAAACTAGGCTACATCACTATGTTCCACAAACCTTGGGATAATAGTCCAAAAAGGGGATGTCTGTAAGCATGGATTTATCTTATTTGGACAATTTATAGTTTTAATGTGCTATGGAGGCATCACATAGTACATAACCAACGCGCATAGGTATCTGAAGACAAAAAGAAAGTTCTCCAACGGTAGGATAAAAAATTAGTACACTGTCATAAAATTGAAGAAACCTTCCTCAAATGATGACCTGGTTATATCTCTAACAAGAATGTTTGCATTTTTAGAGTAAGAAATATCCTTTTTATAAGGTTTCGGAAACAACAGAAACCTCTATTTGTTTAAAGATCAACTTCCTCCTTTTTCAAAAGTTTGGTACTTCGGTATTTCGGTTTACCGAAGTATCGAAAGTTCAATACCGAGAATCGTACCGAAGTACCGAACTTTTGAAAAAATTACACCGAATAACTGATGAACCGATACCAAAATACCGAACTAATTCAATCCAGTCCGTTTTTTCGGATTTTATGCCCACCCCTAATCCACCAAGGCATAGACGGGAAGAAATAAGTTAGTCTTTACCAAGACGATAGTTTTTACCAGCATTTGGTTTTGTACCAGGACGATATAGTCTTTAAATATATAACACAATTCACTCCTTCGAGTTACTTCTGTCATGATTATTCTCTTGCCACACTCAAACAGGAACATATGGTACCTCCAAAGTTTCATTCACATCTAGTTTTAGTTTATTCTCCACCTTATACAAATGGTAACAACTAACAAGCAAGGTCATATAAATTTGAGGATTCCACCAGTTTTTTCAAATCGTTAATAGAAAAACAAATCAATAATTCACAAATTTTGATGACAAGCCAACCCCATGAAGGCATCTACATTACCTTATCAAAAAGAAAGAAAATATTCCCATGAAGGTTATAAAGTTTTCTGTTTAAAGAATCAATTCATGTCCCCAGAGAAAATTCCACATATACATCACATATCTGAATAAAACGAGTGCAGACCTAGATTAAAGACATGAAAAGTCACTTTATGTAATGACGGATTTGGTGTGGTGGCGTAGGGTAGAGGTAAGGTCCGCGTACATTCTACCTTTCCCGGACCCCACTAGTGGAATTCTAGTGGGTGGTTGTTGTTGTTATACTTTTTTTTATATAATAAGTCTACTATCTATCCTATTTTTTCTTAGTAATGTTGCAAGAATTATTCTTCATATTGTTGGTGCGTGATATCCTGAAACGACGGCAAAAGATACAATCTATTCAAACATTGTATTCATCTAACAATACAGTACAATACGACACATTATAAAACGACATATAACAACCATCCAAACAAGCTGTTAAGCAGCATTTCAACTTTAAATGAACCGATGAATGCAACATGCTTCAATATGTAATCAGGCATTATGTTTAGTCACTAGGATCAAATTAGGCAACATAAGTACACATCCTATACATTTTTGGTCCATCAACAGGCATTTGGTAGATAAGCAAGACTTAGCATACAAAGAAAGATGAACTGACCTAAAGGCAAGGAGAGCATGGATTCTTCCTCACAATCACAGAAACAAGGAGGACATGAATCCAAAGCCTTAGAAGAGTGGCGCAATCTTGGTGGTCTGACTATGTAAACAACCAGAAACAAACCCAACAGAACCATAACAAATCTCACTGTCCCCCTACTAGAGGACCTCTGGTCTGATGGGTAAGCCATAAAAAGTTCTCCTAAAACAACAGCAGAAATTCCAAAAACCCAACTGTCAGTGTAATAGAAACAAACAAATAGGACAAACCAAATCTTTTTATTTTCAAAATGAAATTACAAGAAGACAACAAAAGAACAAATCTGAAAACCCCAATTTCACATTTCATCCAAAAAACTATCATTTTTCATACCTGGGTCAAAAGAGATCAAAACTTTATTACATAATCTTTAACTCAAACTCAATCATTTGAGCAAGTCTGAATAAAACCCACTTTAATAAAATGGGTGTATATCTGTCTAAATGCCTTATGAACCACCAAATGAAAAAGACTTTAAAAAGCAGAAAGTGATTGTAGTGAGCAGTAAGCTCAATATTCTAAGAGACAGAGAGGCTAATCAAAAACCAAATGTTGGCTGAAGTGTTTTGAGTTATTATTAGGGAAAGTAAAAGTGACTCAGATCCCAAAAAGGAGAGAAACGAAAATTATGGGGTTCTTTACAGATGCAACATTACTAGAACAGTTGTGAAGAGAGAAAATCGGAGACATTATATGTAGTGAAGAAGAAGTCTCTGCTTTTTAATGAAAGTAGTAAAGGTAGTGTTTGATCATGATTCAAACACTAGAATAGGTGATTTAGACGTAATCACATTTGAATTAAAGTTAATCAAAACCGGGAAATGTGGTTGTGGGGAAGCTAGAGTAGTTATATTATTTAATGGACCAATCTGGTACAGGCATGTCATTTATTGTTCCTGATTTTGCTACATTGGCCCATATTTTAGAGAAAGAATTAACTTAAATAGTCGTCCACCAAACTGCTTAAATTAAATATAATTGTTGGATGTATCATTCATATATATAATTTATGTATAATCGTGTATAATTAATAAATAATCTATGTATATCGATTAGGAAAAGTAAAAACGAATTTGATCAGCTATTTGTGTAAAGATCCTTATTTTTAAATCATACCATTATTCACTCATCCTAAACTCCTCCCCCACCCCCTTCCCTAGCTCCATAGTTGGACTAGTCACTGGCTAGAGGTCGACCAACCCACCGGCAACGAAAAATGTTATATAAAAAGGACTAAAAGGATCCTATTCTAAAGAGAAGGACGGAGGAGTAGCCCTCCCCTCCTGGCCCCCGCCCCAAACCCTAAAAAAATTTATGATATAACACTACGAATTATTGAATTTGAAAAGGCAAATTAGACCTCAACAAGCGGCATTTCCTCCTATTGAAAATGGGCCAAGCCGACCTGGAACAATTGACTACAAGTGATTATGTGATGCCCCGTTATTTTACTATTTATCCTCTACATGCATTTAATGCTTATATTGTGCTAAAGTATGACTATAACTTGTAAAAGATTTCACGAGTATGTTGGAGGTGTGAGATGTTGGATGGGTGCTTGAGGCTGAATTTAGTATGGCTGGGATAGCATGGGTGTTTGATGCAAGGTAGTAAGGTAGCGCCCAGAAAATATAGAAGCTATTTAAAATTATGTATCGAAAAAAGAGAAAAGTAAAAATATAAAAAGCAATAAATAAATAAACAGGCGTTCCTAAAAGATTGTTTGTATTGTTCCTGAAGGAGACCAACCATTTAATGTGAATGTAATCATAAATAACTCTTTCACATGATATATTACCCACATACAAATTTAACTAATCCAACCAAACAAGTCTATATATTATTAAAAGGAGAGGAAAAAGCCTTCTCCTTAAGTCAAGTGGCAGCCTAGAAAAAAGACACTTGACATAATTAATTATTTAGTTAATATTTAGTTATTGGTTATTTTTTTGAATTTAAATAACTATAAAAAAATGAAAATAAGAAAAAAAATTAACAATTTAAATTGGGGAGTAGTTTCTTCCTA